CACTCGGGATTCCGATGCTAGGGGTATTTTGGTCATTGTTGATTTATTACTAATTTGCCGTCTCGTCTTTTTATTATTTTTGACTCGACTTCCGACGCTCGGTTTCGACGCTCTAAGCTCGAATTTCCGACGTCTAAATATTTAACACTCGGGTGACGAATTTATTTCTTCCGAATTAATTCGTCGAGTCGGTTCGTATATTTTGCTTGGGTGTGACCCAAAGGGTTTAGTCAAGATTAAGCTGTAATATTAATTATATTAATATTACTGATCGGAAGCGGCCTCCACCCAGGCATTCCGATCACTTGACCTTACTGAATATATTAGCTTTCTAATAATTCTGAACCCGCTATCAGAATAATACACTTGTTCGAAGGACACCATTCCTTTCAACAATACACTCAAATCATAAAGCATAGAAACCATGGGAGGGGAAAACAAGGAGATCAATCCAACAAACCAACATATGTCCAACAAGTCATCATCCACTAGAAAAAGAGCAAGGAAGGATATTACCGGATATTAGGTTGGTGTGAATACCCGCAAATGACCCACTTAAACCTTTCAAAGCTAACAACCTCTAATATTGAATCTTGCCTTCCATATGCTAGAAATTGTGATGTCAATCTTCTTTGATTCTTGATCCAAACCAATGCATCAATGTATATCAAGCCATGTACCTAGCAAAAGGCACACAAAAATTTCCATGAGAGAAAAGCTATTCTAAAAAGAAAAGGAAAATCTAATCTAAAACATGGGTAACTTCCCGAAAAAGGCTTGCTTAAGGTCCAAGCTTGACCGCTCTAGTAAAATAATAATTCATCACACGCAAGAGCTTGTCAAATGCACTACTACACATGTCATAAGAAAGCAAGTATGCACATGACAAAAATAAGGGATGCAACAAGCATAGTGCAAACCTATGAGGAGAGAGATGCCAAGAGAAGGAAGAAGAATAAAAAGAAAACTCAACAAAATAAGAAGAAAAAGGAAAATAAGAAGAAGAAGAAAAAGAAGAAAAAGAAGGCAAACTCTCCTCAAAATATTTTTGGGTGGCAACATCACCCTTTTCCTCAATTGGGGACAATTGAGCCACATACAAATCATCATAGACAAGAGGCTCCCCAATAGGATCATTAACAAAGGAAGGGAGAAAAGTAGAGCAATAAGGGATGTGGTCAAACTTTTGAGAGAAAGGGGTATGAGAATTAGGCAAAGGGATAGCTACTCCCTCAACACAAGGTCTCACATCGCCAATGAAGGCATGAAAATCAATCATAGAGTCCTCAAAAGAGGAACACTCATGATCACCATCTCCCTCAAACATCCAACTCCCAAGAGGAACCACATAATCTCCTCCACTACCTTCATGAACAACAACTCCCTCAACTTCCTTAAAGCCCAAAGTCTCAAATCCTTACATGAATGGATGAAAATATAACTAAAAGTCATCCCTCTCCCATGAAGCATCCTCAATGAACTTGCTTAAAAGGCTACGGCTATTCCTTGTACACTCAATAAACACATTGGACATAACCTCAAACGAGTCCAAATACTCATGGATAGAAGAGTCACATTAATACACTTGAGACTCATAACAATGGGTGGGAGGGTTGGGATTTTCAAATTCAACACTCTCTTCGCTCTCAACTCCTTCACCATCACTCAAATGCTCTCCAATGGTATCCTAACACTCTCTTGGTTGCTCAAAATCACCATCATCATCATCAACACACACATTGGATTTGAAATTTTCCCACACAAGCATTAAAGATGACAATTGGCTTTCTAACTCTTCATTTCTCCTTCTTCCCTCCTCAAGAGGCTCCTCACTCTTTTTCATCACCTCCAATTGACTTTTCATAGAATTAAGAATCGACTCCTTTTTAGGCCCAAGATCGTCACTAAGCTCAACATGCCTAATTTGAGTTTCCAAAGTAGCAATAAGAGATTCAAAAGCTGTAGGAGATTGAGGCTCAACAAGAGAAAAAGAAGTACAACCAAAGGTAGGATCATCATCATTACAAACATGAGCATTTTCATTAAATAAGGGATTGAGAGCATTTTCAAATGTATGAGATTTGTTAGCTTGAACATGAAACTCATTATCATGAACAAAAGAGGAAATAGAATTGGAAGCATTTGTTCTAGGTTCAACTATGGGATCATGTGACACATCAAGGTAAATCATGCTAACATTGGAAGAATTAACACTTTGCACATCAAAAGTAGAAGCACGACGACCCCTATTACAGACATCCCTAGCAAACCAAGCATAGAAATACCAAGCATCATCAATTGACAATGCTCTAAATCTACCATTATGCATGCATTCAACTTCATTCCAAGTTTGTTTATTCAAACCAAAATAGAAAACCTCACAAGCCTCCAAAAGATTACAACGATTGTATTTCACAAACCTTATAAGTCTATGAAAATAGGCATGAAAAGACTCACCATCATATTGAGGAAAAGAAAAACGTGCCATTTTTATACAAAGAAAACAAAAATCAAATAAAAGAAAAGTATAAACAAAGACCTAGACTCAAGCAATAAAAAACACTCAAACATAGACACCGTTCCCCGGCAACGGCGCCATTTTGACGTGGGGTGAACTAGGTCATTGGACTAATCCTCCCTAAGCCAAACAAAATTTATAAACACTTAACTAACCTAAATACAAGTATAGAGGTAAGTCAAGGGTCAAACCCATAGGAACGGTAATGTCTAAGTGCTTCCAATTATGTGCCTAAGCTAGGTCGAAGTTTAAGGATAAAAGAGGACACTAACAACTACTAAGACAAAGAAACCAAACAAATAAAGTGCTAGGGACTAGGATTAACAAGTATCATGACAATTATACCAACCCAGAAACATGCACAAACCAACGATTGTGAAGACCAACGGTAAGCTCAACCAAAAGAGCATATCAAGCTATTTTCCTAGAGATCTAACTAGCGTCAACTACGATAAACTCTAGCTAGGAACGTCACAAGACACCTCAATCGTGTAAATTCAAGCCACAAATCAATTGTCCGTATCAATGTGAACCTACAAGGCAATCTAGCATAATTCTCAAGGCCTAATCGAATTACACACATGCAAGCTTCCATTAATCACTTTAATCTCAACAATCAATCAACACAATTCCTTTAATTGAGCACAATCAATCAATCATACAATCTTCACCCTATCCCTAGCCAAACAACTACTCAAACATCATCATCTATCAACAAGCAACTAAGGAAAATAAGAATCAACAAAATATGAAGAACAATTACACTAATCAAATATCAATATCAGACCAAACAAACATGAATTAACTAAGAAAAGCAATAAAATGAGATTGAGTTAGAAATCCTCATTGATTGATTTGATGATCTTTAATACAATTGTCACCTTGAATCTTCAATTGCTCAAATCACCATTGAAATTCCTCACTTTCTCTCTCTAAAATCTACTCCTAAAACTAACCTTAAAAACTAGAGAGAGAAGCTCTCAACTAAGCTAAGAAAATAAGATCTAATTGTAATTGTAATTCTTATTCTACTTGTTTCCCTCTCTACCCAAAAATGGGTATTTATAAATACAAAGATTAAAAGAAAATAGAATAGAAAAGAAAACAAATGAAAAGGAAAAGAAAAGAAAATAAATAAAATAAAATAAGAAAAAAATGGAAAAGAAAACTAAGAAATAAAAAGGAAATAAAAAAAAGAAAAATCCAAAGAAAAACGGCTCCTTGAGTCGGTTTTAGCTGCTCCAACAAAGGGAATTATCCCCTGCTACTCACGCACCCTCAAATCATCATCATCAAGTTCCGATCAACAAAATTCATTAAGATCAATGGCCTAAACTGAATCCCCTGCCACGCACCTCCTTTAAACCCACAAACGCGCGGCCGCAAAGGAAGCAAGCGCGACCGCGAAGGTTGCGAGCGCGGCCGCGTTGAGTGAGGTCTGAATTGAGTGCGTTTACGGTGGCTGTTACTTGGTGCTGCTGCCGGAAATCACTGCTAATTGTGGTGGTGAATGCGGGGAAGGAGATGAGCAGGGGCAGCAATTGCGGATGAATAGGGAGCTGAATTGGTGGCGCAATTGTTGCGGGATAAGGGTGGTGCTGGTCGTTATTTTGGGGGAACAAGGGGGATGCTTTGTGGCTGTGTTTTGCGGAGGTATAAGGTGGCGTTGGTGGTTGATTTGTGCGGCTTGTGGTTGGAGATTGTTGCGGAACTAGTGGCGTTAGTTGCAGCTGAGCAGGGGGTTGCTTTGTGAGATGTAAAGGCTGCCGGAAGACAGGAGAAAGGTGGTGCGAATGGTGGTGGTGTGAAATTGGTGGCAGATTGGTGTTGTGGGGAGGTGTTTTTGGAGTTGTTGCTGTTGTTGTTTGGTTGGTGTTGGGGAACAGAGGAAGCAAGGAAAGGAGCTTGGGATTGAGAAGTCAGTGGGCGCGAGCATCACCCTCGTAGCATGATTTTGATGAACACTAAAGTATGCAGTAGCAAAACACCTTTTTAATGGGTTCAGGACTACCCAGTTTGCGAGCACAACTTGATAGCGCAAGGACTTGAACTTGGTACAACCACCTACAAATTACAAATAAAATCCAGGAAGAAAATCAAATAAAATAAAACTAAAACCAACAAATAATATAAAAAGAAATAAAATGAAAATAATAAAAGAAGGAAAATATAATAAAATGAAAAGAAAATAAAAGAAAGAAAATGAAATGAAAATGAAATAAAATAAACTAAAATAAAATAAAACTAAATCTATAAAATATAAAATAAATGAAAAGCAACTAAAATAACGAAAATATAACAAATAAATGAGAAAATACTAGAAAAACCATGGAAATGCACAAAAGCCATAAAATACGAGAAGAGAGGTAAAATAGAGAGAGAATGCATAAAACTAAACATTTATTGAGCAAGAAAGCTATGAAAACAGGATAAAAACGACCTAAATGCTCGTCAAATGGCTGCCATTTATGAAACCGATTAGCTGTAGTAAGGAACTTGGATGCACAATGGAGAGCTAGAGAAGATGATCTTCCATTCCATTTGTCATTAGGAAGCAAAACTGTCATTCGGTCTTTGGATCCTGAAGGAGAAACAATTTACCCTAGATATCAAACACTTGCTTCTAATCCAAGCATCCCTGTCGACGATGACAGAGATTGTAAATAGACTATATAATTTACATATACAACCATAAAATCTGTAAATTATATTAGAATGGCATAATACAGAATATAAATATTTAGTTTTTTTACTTTTCTGTTTCAGATATTCTCGTGATAGTTCTATATGCATCAGAAGAGCCAAGAAGAATAGTGACAGCAGCTAACAAAGAGACATCAATTCGAGATCTTATGGTGATATATCACAGGTAATTGCTGATTAAGACAGACTAACAACTTTGCATTCATTTCAGTACATGTTATAATAACACAAAGTGAATATTTTAAATCTTCTAATTTCAGTACTGATCAGCCAATGAAAGTATGCACTTAGAACGACCTTGCTGGAATACAACCTGAATCAATTGTCTCAAACAGTGACTCTTTCAAAGTAATTGGTATCACAGCTCTACGACCTGTTACTCGACAAGGTGATATAACAACTTAGATCATATTTAAATGTTCAAATGACAAACATATATAAAATATTAGAATCATAACATGAGCTTTGGTATTTTTTAAAATATCAGGATTTTCTCTTGAATCAACCATGTCAACTTTCATTCTGAATGAAGGACCCTCAAGGTGAAAAGGAAGAAGCTTTAACTGAATGGTAAATTTTTGTATAAATGTCCTTTCTGAATATAGAAAGTGTTTGCATAATAATTTCTTGAACATGAATTCGAAAATTTATGAGAAATTCAAATTACAGTCTTGGTGATTTGTATAAAACAAACATTGATATTTCACCTGTTAATTTAATTTACTAATAATAGCTTAAATGTTGAAGTTTTTCTCAATATTGAACATACAGTGATTTACAAGACCATAATCTTCTTACGATTTTTTATTATTCTTGAAAAAAGGGCAAAAAGACATCGATGTATGCTGATTAATGAATAACACAGAATCAAGGAAGTCTTCAATCCAACAGCAGAAAAAACTGTGACAACTATTGGCCGCCTAATATAGAATTTGAAAGATTGAGAGCATATATAGGATGCTCCCACCGTGGAAAGCGAGCAGATCTCGCTCTTGGAACCGTCTACAGCTGCAAAGCATGCTCGAGGAAAGACATACATGCTTCTCACAGGTGTAATAATCATTATAATAGTATATTCAATAATTTTTTCACAAGAATGTTGTTATGCATCTAATCATGCTAACACTATTGCTTTCATTGAGCAGGACAACCCTAACTTTCAATGTCTCTGATGGAACAGGATCATTGGAACTCATTGCATTCACTTAAGTTTGTGATAAGCTTTTTCGAATGTCAATTCAAGACATCTATGAAATGAAAACAATGGTATACAACATGTTTTTCAATAATTACCACTTCATTATACAACACTAACCTCACTACATATTACAAATGTGAATTTTTCTTTATCCTTGATTTTTATGTGATCAGGAGCTGCTCGACAAATTCCAGGAGGTAGTTTACAAGTTAACTACAGAGCATTTCCTGATTAAAGTTGGACCCACAACTTCACTGTCAAAGAACAAAGTCTTGCGATGGGGACTTAAGGGTGTGCATAGGATAGTGGAACCAACAGCAGCCACTAATGAACAAGTGAGCGCATCAAATGTTATTTCTGGTTCTGAAAACAAGAAAGCAGCGACAGACATCAGCACAAAGAATACAGAGGGTGAAGTGATTCAGAAGAAATTACTCCAGTCAGCTAAACGTGCAAGTACAACTGACACGAAAGAAACGCCGCATGAGGATGATCTTACAAACTCCAGCCAAGAGGAAGAAGATGCTTGTGTTTTTGCGGAATGTTTGATTACAGGTAATAGTGTAATACCAACAACCAAGACAGTGTTGAAGATATCAGCCAGAAACGGAAGAGACTTGAAAATGAAGCAGAATCAAATATCCAAACACCATCAAAAGAAGCGATTGAAATGGCGGCTGAAGACATAGCTACCAAAATAGTCATTGACAGTGCAGTGGAATCAGATCAGGCTTCTATAGGTGAGAGGGAAGGAAAGGCTATCGGGTTTGAGGAGCAGGTGAAATCTGAAATCATGTTACGCAAAGTCAAGAGGGAGAGGGTTACCAGGCGCCGAACACTCATATTGCAAGATGATGATAAAGATGATTCCTAGAATCATGAATCTACTCTCATAGAAGATCATGTCAACAACAGCTTCAACAAGTATCAATAGTCTCAAAAATATATTTTATAAATATTTTGTAATGTGTGGCATTAACTAGGAACAAGTACACTAAAATTACTTTTTCCTAAATAACACCACTTATTAAGGAATTAGCCTAAACTAGGCACCTAAATATTTTGCAACCGACTAGGAACTATAATTCTTTTGGGTGTTGAGACTAATGTAATAACTATATAGTATGCTATATGTGTAAATAAGTAGCAATCTACAATGTTAAGTATTAGTTATATAAAAAATCAGCAGCTATGTATATATTATGCTTGAAAATGTAACCCATGTTTTTAGTTATATAAAAATATATAATCGGATTATAGTATATCATTTTCCACCTGTACTTATCAATAGCTCCCTTTCAGCTCACTATGTATTTTCATAATTCAACTAAGATAATGTGTTGTTTGATAAATGCAATATAAGATCTCATATCACCAAATGAGTGATTTCAGTAGCTTATGAGTTTCTCTTAAATTCAAGTGTTTGAATGTTCATTTGGTCTTCTATACATTGCTTTGCAGGTATATGATCTGTGAGACTGACATTCTTCATTTATTTGTAGGTTTGTAGGATAAGTTTTTTTGGTAGGCTACAGGAAGTAAAACATGCTTCGGAGAAGACATTTGTAGTTGAATATACTAAAAAATTATTGAGTACCTAACTCAAAGACTAGCATCTCAGACATCCATCTGTTTATGAGTTGAGTATTATAACAAAAATATGCCTCACCCCACAGGTAATTCAAGAATTTAAAAGCTTACAAAATTACAAGTAGAGTAGTAATTAAACATCATTATATTAGTTCATTTTTCATAAGACAAAAAAAAACTTGATTAAATAACTTAATTTACAATAAGTATTTTTTTGCAAAAGTAAATCTAAGGTTTTACAACATAAACTACAATAAAACATCAAAATTCTTACATAATCTTCCAATAACAGACTTACAATACTACCAACATTAATTTAGCACTAGATCAATATCAAATATATTAGGTTCACCTTTTATAAACTTGATAGGTACATTTTCATCCACTTGAACATTGTATTTTTTTTTAAAAAAAGGGAAACCTAACAATAACAAGGCCTTAATTAAGATGGTCATTCCGTAGTTTTACATTGAAACTAAATCAATGTCAAACACAATAGATACTCCTTTTCTATATTTAATCAAAACACCTACATCTACTTAAACATTATAAAAATCAATGAACTGACTAACACCATTTCTAATGGAACATTTACTGATAGCTCCTTGTTTCTTCAAGACTTTCAGCTGCACGTTGAAATATGTATCGCCAAGCTGAAGAATGACATCAGTAGTTTTAGGGAAATCAATGAAATGTCGTTTAACAAAATCGAATGGAACATTCTGTCATTGAAAATAAAACACAAAATCAAATAATCATGCCAAGAGAAAGAAGAATAGTAAAAAATAAAAAAATAAAAAAAAGATAGTTAACAAAAACCATACTATAATTACTTGATCAACATAAGCTTTGGTAAAAGTGAATTAGTAATGATGTTCACGACATGCAGTTGCAAGCTTGGCAAGGTAAGCATTAATTTCGATCATTTTAGATGAAAGCCTCTCAATAGTAGGTTTTCTCCCATGCTTTTTACCTGAAGTACCCGAACTTCCACCATATCCAATTTCCTCAGCTCTCTTACTTCCTCTAGGTCTGCGGATTTCAACATCAAATGAGCTATCCCCTAAATAAGTAAATATCAAAGCATCACCAACATCTACACCATTATCCTCTACAAAATCAGACCACCCTGCATCAAGATATGTTCCCCATCCACTACCACACTCTTCATGCACTAGAGTAACAAACCATGACTTGTCATTACCATCCACTAACAACTCTATGTTTAAAAAACCATCATCTAGGACATCCCTGAAGCCATCTGGAATACGCTATTTAGAGGCACACAAAAAACACACACCACAGTATAAGCATAAAATCAAAATCCAAAATCAAAATTCCAAAAACTAATCATCAACAAAAATGAATTAAATAGCACAAATTAGCAATCACAACACAACTAAAGAAAACAAAAACAGAAACAAGAATGCATACCAACTTTTCATGTTGCTGAATATCATTTTCATATAGAATGGTAAACGAAAGAGAGATTCTGTCCATGAAAATTTCTAATGTCAGAATACTTAGAACTCAAAACAAATGAATTAAAATGTAAGTCTATGTAATAGCTTTACTCATAATACTTTATACCCTTCACAAAATTATTCAATATATAGGCTAAGTCAAAACTTTGAAACTACAACACCATTAATTAAATTCAAGTATGAACTAAAACTAACACTTCTACAAGAAACCTTCACAACACAAATATAACTTCAGATTCCATTTCATCAATAATAACAACAACAAAAACATAAAGTCAAGTAAATGCCATAATAGTCAACTAAATTTACATTTAACTTACAATATTATAAATAAATGCCATAATCTGTATTCATGGACAAATTGTGATGTGAGATAGAATCAAATAGCAATTACAACATTCATACACAGAAGAGCAGAAAAACTCCTTGTCAGCACATTCACACAAAACAATTTAAACCCATATTTCCTTCTAAAACTAAGAGTTCTGCACCGGAATTAGAAATCAAGGGTTACCAATATCAACTCTTTTAAATTATCTACACACTCAACAAACCACTAATGTGTAAAGCAAATTAATTTTACAAATTTGGATCCTTTTTCAAACAGACTTTTGATTAGGCTTCACACTCTAATTATCAAGCATTCATTTTTAGCATTACCTATCAACAAACTTTTCATTAGGCTTAACACTCTAAACTTCTTCTCTAACTTATAGCTTCTGACTACTGCAATCAGACAACGGATATAGGAGCCTAAGATGAAGATATTGACACCTTTGACAAGTTATTTTAAAGACAACTAAACAGTAATATTTTAAATGTCATTAAAACAGCCTAAATGTTTGAAATGCTTTAAATATTTCACTAAGTTTTTTTCCCTAATTTGTGCATGCATTTAGATTATTGTAATATATGTGATTTTACTCATATCTTTTAGCCTTAGATTATGAAAACTAATAAACTAACAAGCCACAATATATACCATTTAGACATAAATTTACTAATATTATACTCTCTAAACATCTTGATATTAAACATTTTCAAGTTATATTATTACTAATCACTAACCAACTCTGCCATCTTGCCCTAGATATCTTAATTGCATTTTAAATTATCACTATATCCCTCCCTCTCTTTTTCGCAGAACCTCTTTTTTCTCTTAAATCATCATTACATCCCTCCCTTACTTTATCTCAAAACCTTTTTTTCCCTCCAATATACATTTATTTTTCTTTAAATAACTAAATTATACATTTCTTTCTCTGTGGATCTCAAAATAACTCCTGAATATGGATAGAAAGACAAATGCAACAATATAGATAGTGAAAATTTAAAAAATGAAATATTTGATTAATAAATGTAGAAAAATCTCAAACAGAACTAAAAACAATAAACATCAAGTCATGTAAAACTTAAGCTTTACAAAATTATATAAACAAAAAAACCAGAAACATCAAAAATCTTAAATTTATTAAGTCATCAGATATAACAAGTTCAACACTCTTGCCTACAATATTAATACATCAAGAATCATTAATCAGCTGTAAATTTACATATAAAACAATAGGATTCCGCTGCAAAAGCTCAATTACAACACCTTCATCAACCTGAACTTCATACTCATCGATCACTGCATCAACTCCATCCTTAATAAAACATTGCACCATTATTCCATCGTGACTCTTTATCTTTAATTTGGCTTTGAACTCTGTATGATAAAGTCGCAACACAACATCAATCGTCTTCCCAAGTCTACGAAAATGCTTTCTAGCAAAATATATTGGAACATTGTGCATCGCGAAAAAGTGTTAATGAAAAAACAAACATATGATTGACTAAAACATAAGAAAACTACATTATAGATACAATTGTCCAAACAACACATACAATAATTCCATTTGAATGGTAGCACTCTGAAAATACAAAATGAAAATCTG